TTTTTCCAACCGTTCTACCAAGTAGTCGAAGTTGTGCAATCACTCGATTGGCCGCGGAACGTTGAGCGCTACGGTCGATATTGGTGGGCAAGTTGAAATTACTCGGCTGATCGTAATCCGGCAACGATTCAATCAGAGTTGTGTAATCCTGTGTTAGATATGAAAGGAGGATAGATAATTACATAAACGTTTATGTATGCTTGACAGCGATGGAAATGAACAACCGTTTTAATCATAAGACACAGGAGGGGGCTTTAAATAATGGGAGCTAATGACGGCTCAGCGGTTAAAGCGCGAATTCACTAACCGGAAGGTCCGTGATTCGAACTCAACCTCCGTATCTCGACTGCTTCCGTCTGGGCTCGGGCAACCTGGCAGTATCCCAGGTGCTTCCTTCGGGTGGCATAGCAACAAGGCACCAAAGAGGTGTTACAGCTGAGCAATGATCATTATTATTTAGCCGGAAGGTAGAGGAAACACAACTCTCCATCACCGTTCCAGTTGAACTGCTTCACCTAATTTCAGTGTGCACAACCATTTTCATATGCTTTCCGATATTGCACATTAGCTTCAGAACCGCTCAACACTCTTCAAATTTACCTTGAGTTCTGTTGTTCCAGGAAGACGGAGTGGACCAAGTTTGAGACTGCGCAGCGTTTCATCACTGAACATTTGAACTAAGTAGGACTGAAGCACGAGCACATCTGACTGATTATCCATTCGACCACCGTAGACTGTTCCTTCGAACAAACCGTGGATCCATGCCCAAACATCTTTGACAATTGTCTTAGAACCGGATGGTAGTAATAGTCGATCAATGACATCAGCAGCGGCCCGAAGGTCTGCGTAGGAAAACTCATAGAATTTCGTCCAACCCTGTGAAAAGGGAGCAACTAATTCGCGTCATTTTTTGCCACTGGAAAATTAAATGTCTGCAGTATTGGTTTGGAAGTAAAGGTGAAACCGAAGCAAACTATGCAAAAGAACACGAAACATATTTTTTCCAGTCGGTGATTTCTTAGGGGGAATTCAACTGTTCATGAAGAATTTAACTGTTGATCCAGAAACTTTTGTGATTTTTAAGTAATCTAGTCAGGGCAAAACCACTGGCTTTAGGGAAACCATTCTTCGTTCTTATGGAGCTAAAGTAAGCGTCATTGCACACACAGCTAACAACTGAAGTAGACAGGGCGCACTAATACTGTCCGTTATAAACTCGCCTCGCCTAGTCGTCTTGCATGTTTACCTCCCTCGTTCTCTGGTTCCTCCTCCTTGAAATCCCACAATCAGGGAGTCCTGTAAAAGCAGACCAGTGTCCAGGACAGAATCGAACAGCCATTCCAACTAATATATTCTTAAGCACCAGGCCGCCTCAGGTTTCAGTTCCTACGATATTCGAGATATCGCGATACATGAATAGACTTAGGAACATCATGAACACGAGGTTCAGCTGGAGTCCAGGAGAGTCACCCATTAAAACCAAATTTGTATGCAAATAAGTGTATTTATCTGCCCAATTTAGGTTCAAGTAGCACATAAGGTTGGCGGAAACTTGGAGATTGTCCTACCTGATGAATCCAAGAAGGCCGAAACCGGTCGTAGGCTGTCGAAGAGTTTTCAGCAACTTTATGAGTGGTGCATTTCGTATTTACGAAAACGTTTGTCTCTTAAACTATCGATTTTCTTTTTTATAGAAACTAAATGCCACTGGCCTGCGCACTTATCGCAGCTGTAAGCTCAATTTTCCGGTACAGAAAAATATTGGTAAACGTTAAGGTCGACAAAAAGGTGCACAACTGATGCTGATGACAACTGCTGGCAGCGTAATAACGTGGTTAACACAGCCATGTCACTCACCTGTGGTATATAGTTTCGCCTTTCTTGCACGACAGCATGGAACCAGGCTAACGCAGCCAGTGTTGTGGCGCGATTAGAAGAGTTGCCCTGTGCTAAATATGACCGTGTCCATGACTCGTAAGTTCTTCGCAGATTTCGTTTCAATCCGGGTGGTGCCTTGAATGAATAAAGTGAAAGTTTGTGAGGTGTAAGATAAAAGTGTAAGTACAATGAACCCTCAAGTACAGTGGTATATATTATATGGTTTACGAAGTGCAGTATAGAACTTACAGAACTGCAAACAACGATGTAGAACTTAACTTGTTCATTCGAACGAAAGATACAATCCATATTACTTCATGTGTGTATGCATACGACCGGAAATGCAACCGAATGCTTGAACAACAAGGATAATTGAAAAGACAAGAACTAGCCGTTTTGGTAATGCTGTTTCGAAAACTAACAAAGAAACACACTTGAATGTTCTACGATCAAGGCATGAATCTGATGTATAGAAGGTCGTAAAAGCCCACGATAGGCTACTTGGACATTGTTCCTGAAAAGTCTGAACACTTCTCAGGAAGTTTACACGCGCAGCACAACTTATCATTTTTCGGTTTCCTGATCTTTTTTTCCACCACGTCACTTATCCCCATACAAAATGGAGGCGTCAGAGCCTGTTACGCGTGTTCCTACTACCGTATTACGTCACATCAGTGCGCATCTATCGAGTCACTTTATGGGTGTGGATGGTCCGCTAGAACCTGAAAGTTGAGGAACGTGAAGAGTGCAGCGGATCACCGTAGTTAGAACAGGTGGAAAAATTTACCTTCAAAAGATGAACGAATATATTTTGCGGTACAGTATAGAAACGTTGTAAAAGTACATGCCTGGACCGTTGTAAAAAATACATGTATCTGCAGATCACTCACTTCGTAGGCCACCTTTAAGCAGGTTTGCAGTAATGCAGATGGAAATCCAGCATGTGGTTCGGCAGTCAGCCATAGGCGGAAGTTTTGATGAACATGCATAATTCCATCTCCAGTATTTTTTCGATTTGAAATGTCGTTGGCAGAGACTTGTTCATCTAGCAAGAGTGAGTTGATTTCCTTTTCTAGTGTCGGCAACCACGGGATAACCAGATGCAAGTTCTTCAAACACAGCCAATCGCCGGCTTCAGCAGCAGCGTGGAGTTCGCTAATGGCTAGGTCAGCTTGACCTTGACCCATAGCCACCTGACGGTAATGAGAATCTGCCAAACTGATCGAATCCTTTCGATTACCAAATCTAGCAGCGGCTGCCTCAGCCAATTCTTGCGAAGGATCAGCTCCGGGGCTGATTAGCAACAGTATCGGTTCCGTCGCCCGAGTTTCATGCTCATATAAACGAGATAAATTCACAGTTGACGATCCCAAATGTGGGAGATCTAAGGAACAGAAGAGCGTAAAGTTCGACTAGCTTGGTTTTAAAAAGACAAAAGAGAGTGTTGAGTCAAATAGATACACGCGACCTGTTAGCTAACCTAATGTTCCTTAAAAGGTTTGAGAAACTCAGTGTAATGATCTATCCGACACAAACTGACGTGCTGTTACATTGTGAAGCCATTCGACGCATAGTTGTGTTCGACATTTTGTAAAAGTGAAGGACGAATCATATGCGATACGGGCTGGCACACTGTGAGAAAATTCCACAATTGTTAATCGGCCCATTGTAGGATAAAATCGAGGAAGCCTTCTTCATATTATGCCACATAATAAGTTACTCACTTGGCCTGGCGAAGATTTTGAGACAGAAGCAAAATGAAGGGTATCAATAAATACATTGATTATATTCCATACTTCTTTGAAATCCAAATTATTCACATTCGTGAGTTACCGAAATTATTTTTTTCCTCTCGATACGAAATTGAAAGCGTGAATTCCAGGACGTTTGTTTTATTCACTTACCCAAACAACGATTGGCGAATTGTAGCATGGCTGTTTGCAGTCTATCGGGTCTAAGAGCTTGAACGGCCAGTACATCGAGTTGAAATGGCGTCAGTTGGGCTGATTGTAGATTGGCCGGTGGTGGCAAACCGCCATCACTATGGTGCGACATCCAACCGGACCAGATTCTCGCCTCGTCCAGACGAAGTGCGGAATAGATTGCAGGTAGTGCGGCCTAAAATGATTGATAGCGACAAGTTCTCGTGAAAAAAATGTTAAGGAACCACTCGTCAGCCATTCAACTTTCCGACGAAGTCGCAAGCGAACGTTTCGGATTGCATTTCCGATGCACCTGGATGATCAGCCAACTCAAGTACCACCCGTTAACCTCTGGAGTGTAAGTACAATTCCATCTCCAAGTGGTGGATTCTCACCAGCTACAAAACATTTGATGACATCCGTCAGACTAAGCGATTCCGTTGTCTTAATTTTGTGCGACTGACAAGAAACTTACTGACAAGGTGTATGTGCCCTTTTAGATTGGCTGCGGGTCCTCACCCCGACAGCCACACACATCCTTCCAGAAGAAACACGGTAATAACCTTGTGCCACTTGGTAATTCAGTTATCGGACACTAGCCTCATGTAAAGTACATGTGGATGGAATTTTTCTAAAAAAAGATGAGATTTCAGCTGAGATACTGTATAGTTTCTAGCTCGGTCGGGCTGAGTGAGGTACGTAACATCATTCTCTGAATTTCAGCTGAGATACTGTATAGTTTCTAGTTCAGTCGGGCTGAGTGAGGTACCACGGAGGACTTTGCCCCGGGGCAGTGGTAGAAAACATAGAAGCCTGAGACCTCACTTCTCAACAGGGGACGAATTCGAAGAAAAAACTGTAATCAGGTACCTGCCTCGACGTAATTCATGAATGAAGTCTAGTGGGCGAGACGGAATATTGTTTAGGTTTGAGTTGTATCGACCTACAGATATTGTAAATCCTTGTAGTGTCTAAAGCCGGGTAACATAACTGCATGACGATTTTTTTGTGTACCTGAAAAGAGCTCAATCGGTAACATTACCCTAATGATTCTAATGGCTGTCTGAGGGTGCAGTTGGCCATATCTTTAGCATTCTGCATCGACGACCGAGCTTCGGTGAACTGCTGTGGCTTGGGACTTCGAAATATCATTGCACAGAATGTGAAGTCCGAAAATCTATGGTTCAGGGCATTGGTGTGAGATTCACGGTCCACAAACCGCACTGGAAACTACCGATCGGCGTAAATAGTGCCACAGCCACTGATAACCATGGACCCGTCTATCCTTTCAGACTAATGGATCCAAAAAAGAAAGGTGACACTCTGGAAACATATGACATCGAATTCCCATAAAAATCCCTATTTCGAACAAAAAGAACATCCTTTCTTGTGGAAGCTAGTAGAAGTGGATGAAAGTTGGGAAAGAAACAGCCCAAGGATAAGAGCGAAGGAGTACCAAATTTTGGGGTCATTCTGCTAAGGATCAGCTTAATCCTGGCCTAAAGCAAGCATACCCACTCATCTTCGAAAGCTCGGAACTGGTTGTTGTTTGAACCAGTCCGATATTAAGGCCTTAAATATATACTGTAGATCGTGAAAACATGAAGTCAACAATCTCTGTGTGCGCCAATCTCTCATGGCACCACCAACTTGTGGAATTTTTTTGTGGTTCCATAACTTACCTTGAAACGCAACACATCACGGACACGATCTGGATCCAGCCAACTGGGTGCGGACTTGGTGTCAATCTGCGGATCAGTTACAGTCACACCAGTGAAGAACTGCCATTCCTAATTTAAAAAAAAATGAAAATAAGCATTCTGCATTGAGGAGGTGAGATGAAGGATCATCATGCACGTCATCATACTAGATGGAGGGCCATGAACCATGCTTTTCATCTGCAGTTTTCACGGGAGTAGTTGGTACGATAATTTACTGTGCAAGTCGGTCATTTTCTGCTCAATGTACCTAGTTATCGATACCATAAATTCCAAATCACAAACTTAGAAGGACAACTTTCCGTTTTAACTGGCTTTATTATCCTGTAACTGATCAGTAATCTGATGTCATCAGGGCTCACAAATGATCCAGTGCAGTGTTTTTTTGGATGGGGACCTTTCAAAGTACTGTTTACAAAAATCCTATGAATGTTGATGGGCTATATATGGTATTCGAGACGCTATTAAGATGGCCTCTGACTGTCTGACTTCCACCGCTGCCATCCAACTTGGCACACTATAATTTTCAGAAAGGTTTGGTAAGCAAATGGTGGATTTATTGCAGAGCACTCATTGCTTAGACAGAGAAGCGAAACCTGTTAAAACCACTCCACTGGTCCAGCTGAGAAACGCTTCTGATCTGTGCCTGGATTCAACCGATGATGTTCAAAAGTCACGTTTGCAGTGTCCTTGATTCCAATTGGGACACTTCAGTGAAGTATGTTCCAGTTGTGGGCCATATAACATCCCTATCGAGTGGACTGAAGGATAACACACGAATTTCTGATATCGTTGGTGTATGGAGAACTCCTCTAGACTCACAAACACTTCAGAATGAGTAAGAGTCTACGAAGTGCACAAATGCCGCAAAAGTTGCTTCCACAAAAGCTTTGGTGAACGATTTCTAGAGCGTTCCTGCAGATTCGGTGGGATACTGCGAAGCGGAAACTGGCAACGAACATAAATAATTAGATTGCTAGCATATAAAACAGGCCTCTTAATTTGAACGTGAGGGTCAGAAGTCTCCACCAACAGCTCTTATTTGATACAAAAGATGACAAACCCTTTATGGCTGTCCAGAATGCACAGGAAGCCCAGAGAAAAGCCTACATAAAGTCACATAAGATGGACTATTAATGGAAGAAAAGCGGTGTTCATTACTTGTGAAATTTGCGGTTTAGGCGGTCCAAGTGACAGGGTTCGCGACTGACGCCCTATGAAAACTGAAGAAGTCAGTCACGGTTGCTGAAGACACTACAAACTAAGTTCCATGGTTTAAGGATCCATCTCTAGGGTACATAAGCGCCACGAAGCTGAACAAGACAGAAATGGCACAGTTGAATCTAAGCTCAGGACAATTTATAGCTGAGCAGAAACTAGAGGAAATGACAAACAAAACGCAACCATTCTTCGACTTGGGATTGTTGGTTTGGCCCGGAGGGTCAACTGCCCCAATGTCTTGCAGAAAATGCGGGCATGAGCTCTATGAAAACGTGAGATAAAATAGGCGTACCATTGTTGAACCGAGGATAAGAACTGTGAATGTATAGTTGGTTTTGAGGGGTAACCTTGTAAGTAATGGAGGACAACGTGCACAGTCGGGACTGGCCCTAAATGGGTTTCCGCACATCACCAGGGTAGAAAACGTTGCTTCAGAGGATCCTGTATACTGAGTAAAAATTAATCAAACTCACTGAAAGGCCTTTTCGAGTGAAGTACGTAAAAGATTTGAAGGGTTCAATGTGAACAAAGTCAAGACAGAGAAGTGTCCCTTGTACCACCCTACATATCTAACAACTCAGAACGTCCTATTTATTCCTGGAAGGGCATGTTCGAAAGATTCGGCCCCTGTCCCATTCACAGTAATCAAACTTTAAGAAACCGGCGGTTACTGTACTACACGTAGTACATTACAGTTGTCTGACAGTTTAAACGCAAGTAGTAAATCAGCGGGCATCTTTCCCGCTAAGTTATTTAACATGATGTGTGCCTGGTTTACAGTAAAGTATTTAGGTGGCAAAGGAGGTTATTCTCAAAGATGAAACCAACTTTCAGCATGCAAAATAAATTTGTCTTGAAATAGACAGTAAGAACTTGTTGGCCAAGCAATTTTCTGCGGTGGGCCTTGTAGTATAGTGTGCTCTTTTAGACTTCATTGAAACCAAAGAGAGACACCGTTCAGGCGCCTGGTGAAAGTGGCAGAAATTACAACCAAAGTCCTATAAAGCTGAATAGTTGTTGCGATAATTTACGAAGAAGGATGCTATTAGATTTGACTACCGTACATCTGCACAACATTTACTTGATTCATTTGCATGGGAAATTAATAGCCGAACTGCTAGCTTTTTGTCACATGTATAAACGCTACTTACTTCCTCCGTAATCGCCTCTGGTCTCAGACATCGAGCCATATGCATGGTAAACATTGGTCGGTCAGCTTTGAATAGGGCTTGCGAGACGTGCGCAAATGCAAGAGCCTCAAGTCTCTTGTGTAGAAACGCTACTTTACCAGCGGTGGGTAGTGACGGGTCCTGAAGCACAGGGGAGAAAAGGTTAGTTTAGTCATCACCAACTATGTAACTGCTCTACGCTATCGTCTACTGAAACACGATATTCATGTAGACCCCTCAATGGGAGACTGATATGATGACCTTAGAACCGAACAGGGTACTTTCTTAAAATTGCGAACCAGCAGCAACTAGATTAGAAAATAGTGACCAGGATATTTACAAAATAACAAATGCATTGAAAACAAAGTTAGAAAGATGGCCTCACATACCCTACATCATAAAAGACAAATAGTAAAAACTGATCGTCGCGTGGGCGTGAGATAGTATTACGAACGCTGTTTGCTGTATCGCTCTATAAATTATTGCGAGCACTCGCCATCGATTCCGAAAAAAAACTTACATAAACAGCTTCGAGGGCCTTCTCGAATAGATGAAGAAAGCTGTTTAGGCTAAACTGGTACATCCAGTTGATCTTGACAAGTTCAGTCAGTGCAAAATATACACGACTACCAGCTTCAGCCAGAGGATAGAAGACATCGCGTTCCTAGAAAGGAAACAACGTATTAACAATGTAGTTAAAAATGACGCTGCAAAGAGAACAGCGGGGAAAATATAGCCTGTACATATGATTAATCAGTTCACCATTCAGGGTGAGGCAGGCATGAGACGAACTGGAACTCCGATCTTAAGTAAATCCTGTCTATGTAATCTACCTACCTATCTACCTATTTATTTATTTATTTATTTATTTATTTATCTATCTATCTATCTATCTATCTATCTATCTATCTATCTATCTATCTATCTATCTATCTATCTATCTATCTATCTATCTATCTATCTATCTATCTATCTATCTATCTATCTATCTATCTATCTATCTATCTATCTATCTATCTATCTATCTATCTATCTATCTATCTATCTATCTATCTATCTATCTATCTATCTATCTATCTATCTATCTATCTATCTATCTATCTATCTATCTATCTATCTATCTATCTATCTATCTATCTATCTATCTATCTATCTATCTATCTATCTATCTATCTATCTATCTATCTATCTATCTATCTATCTATCTATCTATCTATCTATCTATCTATCTATCTATCTATCTATCTATCTATCTATCTATCTATCTATCTATCTATCTATCTATCTATCTATCTATCTATCTATCTATCTATCTATCTATCTATCTATCTATCTATCTATCTATCTATCTATCTATCTATCTGTCTAACTAGTATAACTAGAGCAATGACCAGTACTGTTCTTGGGGTATGGTTTTCTGCTCAGTACCTATTTAGTGCTTAAAACAAAGGCAGGTAATTAAGTAAATGGTTATGATGGGTCACTACATTAAAATAGTTAAAAAAGGATTGTTGGTTGTCATCTACTGGATAGTGTAAGGCGGTCTCAATGGTCGCTGAGACGGTGGGTCGGCCAGTTCGCGACAGGAAGACAAACTCAGGGATCGTGCGAATCCTTTCGACAGTGCAGGATTTTGCAACCTGCTTCTACTGTAATCAGGTGACACCGCTTATTCGATGCTGATACGCTATGAGCTACTCAGTGGATAGTATGAAACGACTCAACCGGATTAGCCTCTTGACCAGCATCATTGACGCGTGATGCAGTCACTGAGTCACTGCGAGTCACTGAGTTTAGTGGTATTCCTGCAGGAGAGATAGTCAGCGAGTTGCCGTATCATGCACTCAAAATATTCCGCCGACCAACAGCAGGAAAAAGAACACACAAACATATTCTGGGTGAGGACCGGAATCTTGCCTTCCACTTTTAATTTATCAAATGGTCGGTTGTAACCCAAGGATGCAAACTTGCAGCTTGAAACGTGCGTAGGAGGGGCTGAAACAAGTGGCGATCAACTGTTTAAGACAACAGTTCACCTTTATAGACTAGGCTCAGTTAGAATCTTCTTTGCAACGGGGTGGGATGCACAGTTCTGACATATTCTTGCTACAACCAAAATAATCGCAATACGACTGCGAAATCTGGTACTTTACTTTCAAAAACTTTCCTGTCTTGGCCATGTAACACAAATCGGTCAACTCAGTAGCTCAAGGCTATTCTAGATCACCTTACACCACGCACTTGGATGATATACGAATAACCATTTGTCTGTGTTTCTTCCCTTTTAATTCAGTAACCAATCTTAGTTATTCGTTTCATTATCTATGCCTAGTTTAGTCATTAAATAAATAAACAGTAACCTGACGATGAGAACACGAGAAAAATACTCTTCGCCACGCTGTCCGTTTATCAGGACATCACGAGGACAGAAACGTTCTACACATGTCTTTAATGAGGATTTCATCTTGTAAGTGAGGTCAATCTATGCTGAAGAGCCGAAAAGCATTCTAAAGTGTTTCGTCCTTATTTGGGGTTTTTAGCAGTGCGCATCTCATCAAACTTTAGGGAGTCTCGGACTAGCAGCCTCCCGGTTAATGTTCGAACACTTAGATGTTGGACCAAGAGAGGCTGGTCAGCAGTGTGATTAGCTGTCAGTTAGACAAGATATATAGTATGAATCTCCATATTAGGAAATCAAACTTTATATATCGGCTTCAGACGCAGAATGCACAAAATCCGTGCACATCCTTATACTTTAACACTGCGCCTGCAAACCGGTGCGCCACTGAAGTTGGTTTTCACATACAAGTTGAATGGATTAAAAGAGGTGAGCCGAAAGGCGCGACGCATGTGTCAGTCGACTTTCATCTGATCCTGCTACACCAGTCGTACGGGATTCGTCGAGGCTATTTGATTCCAAAACTGGGTTACTGTAGTTATTTTACACATCCACAAACACGTAAAGAGCAGGGGAAATGTCTTCTCAATAAGTGTTACGGTCACCCGGAAATATCGCCCCACACGGATAACTGAGAGTTCCAATGCCCTGTATCATACTCTAAGCGTAACGGTAACATTCTCATCACTCTTCATTCAACAGACAAGAAAGTTGGCGCCATGCCGATTAACAGTGATGCTCTAAAAAAGCAAAGGACGTGGTGAACATGAAAACTATCTCCATAGCACAGTGACTTACTTTGTCTAGTTCAGCCTGTAGCCTTGAGGATTCCTTCAAGGAATCAGATATGGTCATACTGGATTGTTTGGTTTTATTCAGAGAAAGTAAAAGCTCTTTATTCTCCAAGATATTTCCATGCGCGTTCGCAAGTGCCTGTGATCAAAAGGAAAAAAGAATAGTCTAGACAACTTGAGCGACTGCCGTTCGATCTAACTTCGGGTCGATTATCACAAAAGGGTCATCCGATCTAGAAAGAACGGTTTTTAGGTTGAAAGAACTAGTAATACGGACAATTGTCCTTCACCAGTTTCAGTATCAGCTAATGAAGCCTACCTCAAGCAGATCATCTTCCAATTTGGCCAGTTCCAATTTCATGCGTTCTTCTTCGCGAACCAAGTTTTGTCGTTTCTCTTCCATTTGCGGACGTTCATGGTGCAGACTAGCTGCTAAAAGTTGATTGACCAGACCAGCTCTTGTGGTTACGAAATTCACCACCGTAACAAGAGATGAAGCACTCGCTGGTCGAATCGTGCCAATACTGGTGGGGGTTTGTCGGGTGCACAAGAACAAGCGAAAATCAGGATGGTAGTCGACCGTTTTATCCCCAAGGAGAACCGTAGATCTTCCGCCTGAAAGGGAAGATGGATTGGTGATGATCGCTACCATGTGAAGACTCAGTGCTCTTGCTTAAGGCCCCCCCCAAGGTAAATTTAACTATGTCTAATCATATTCCATTTTGCTGTGATTTCCGGATGACCGGTGTGCAAAATGAGTGGTGTGCTCTGTGGTAATCCCACGAGTGCAGCTGATAAAAAACGCTCTGTGGTGGTATTCGTAGTGAGTGAATGTCGTTCTTTTTATTCATAACATTAATTGTGACGGCAGTCCAGACGAGAAAGCTCCATAACTTGTAGGTACCGCGCTGTAATGGGCCATAATTAGAAGGTAGTTCCAGTTCAAGGATAGTTATAGGACGAAATTAACGCGCATATCACTAAACATAGTCATTACGTTGCGCAACGCAGATGGATAGATGCATTTTGGTGCACATCGCATATTTTAAAAGTCATGTCATGATATACAACATAGTCAAGAATTTGAGCAGTGCAAACTGAAGCATATGACGGGCATACTTCTGGAGGCTTCAAGGCAGTGATTTGACAGTACTTGTTGACTGGGTTGGCCGTGCCAGAGATCTTTCCATTTTGCTCAGGAGAATATAGCCCACTCAAATCTGCATATCATTGGTCAGGTGTCTGGTGAATAGTTTAGTAGATTACTCTAAATTGGCGCACACATAACTACCAACGTACAGGTCACAAGGGAGTATGTGTACTACCCCAGGAATATGGCATTTACTAAAACTCGCATGGTTCCAACCAAAAACTTACTGATCTGAGAGACAGGATAGCGTGATTGGGAAAAATATTCAAAAAATCAACCATGAAAGTAATTGATGTTACGCTGCATATGGCTTACTACCAAATCTGAGGGCCCAATTCATCTTACCTCGACCTTAAGCAGAAAAAAGTCAACGACTGTATTCGAACAACGAAGGTTGAATAACCATCTTCCCAAGAGATTCAACGCTACACATTGTGTCAAGACGTTTACCTATGCTTTGAAACTCACCTTGGAAAATGAGACTTCCAGACAGCAGTGGGAACAAAATAGGTTCAATCTCATCCACCTCCTGTATGATAAGCGACTTGCCGAAACGGACTGCCAGTTCCAAGGTGGTCGTAAAGTTCGCACTCTAAATAACAGAAGATAATGGCACAGTGATATCACATAACAGCAGAAACAATCTACTTTGGAGGGAAGCTGGTGATGAGGTTTATGAAAGAAGACTCCGAGTGGAACGAGTCGGAATGATACCTAGAATTGACTTACGCGTTGGCTGACAACCTCTACCTTCCGTTCTCTTAAATGTTGCTTCAGCCAGTTCAAGGCTCTGGATGATGGATCAACGATGAACGGACACATCCCAGTCTGAGGTTGGGTAAATAGGAATAAAGACGGTAAGTAGTCTCCTGTTGATTTAAATTCACGAACTAAACAGAATTAAAACGAAAGTTTTGAGCCGATTTCAAGAACGATAATTTGGGGTTCCCCGTTAGATCGAGTGTCGTCGCGTATCACATTAGTACAAATGGCAGCCGGTTGTGCACTTCTGTTGATCGGAAACCCCGCTCATACGATACTAATTGCCTAATCAACAGCTACCAACAGCTATTCACCGTCTTATTAGGAAACTCGACTAGAAACTAAGGCACGCTAAGGCATAGCTTACAAGCTAAAACGAATATGCACGAGACCATCCTAAACTCGCACAAATTGCAGCTGCGTTCCTGAGTCAGAAGGGGCACAGGCGCCATGAAGAACTGTTACTAACCCAAATAATTCACGACATCGGCTGGGAAGTGTTGATTCACTACAGAAATCAGTGTTCAAACTTAACTTTATCACAGGCTACTGCTAAGTGGTTCGATGTTCCGGTGTTTTTCAGCACACTGTTGACCATATTCCCGTATTCTACGCAATACAAACTTCGACTGGTACGATGTAACCATGATCACTTGACCAGATGCGATTCGTACTCGTCGCTATTGGCTCTTTGAATCTGTTCCACACTGGTCACGTCCGCCGCAGTTATCACTTAGGCTCCCCATAGGGGCAAGCTTGACTCGTCAGGAGTTGAACACAGACGGTCCGCTACCAACTTGGTCACGACCAAAGCGACCGAGGTCACTTCACTGGGCACATGTTCAAGGTCGTTCTACTCAGAACGTGTTTCTGGTTGTTTCACTTTGCATGTGATTCCCCGCTGACCTATGTCTTTGCGTCTCACTCTAGTGCAATGTGGTGCGCAATGTGGTACACAGTTATAACTGTGGCCTTTTCCGGTAGCCATCCTCTGCCTGTAATCGCTTGTCTGTTCATCTGACTGCAGTCAATTACGTTTTTCTTCTTCCCTATTACTATCGTTTTGCTTGTTCAACAAGTTCATTTCGTCACCAAATAGACACCGCCATAGTGACTGTTATGGCTATACCCTACAACCCTCCAAAATGCTATGGTTTGCTATTACTGAGCGTGCTCCTGTCTGTGCTGTACGCAGGCCAGTCGTTTGTACTGACCAATCCGCTGTCTGCTGCTGCTCTTTTGTACCTGTCAATTCTGATGAAGCCGCTGCCCGGTTTCCCCAGCACAGGTAGGTGTCGTTACCGGTATCCCATCTAACTTCTGGTCTGCATCAGATCGAATAGCAGCGAAAGTCCATTCCTCAGAATTCATTATGCTCTCCCGGATTCTACAATTCAGAAACCATACAAGGCACATACTTAATTTGCACTGTGCAGGAGTATGCATCAGTAGCAGGTGTCTCCAGGGGTATAATCAGGATGATCATAAGTACCGGCCCATTTCACGTATTCCCAAGCTGATACCGACAATTAAAGTGTCTCCTACAAGAGAGTAAAATCTGAACTACGGATTCAGAACTAAGCAGCAACAAATTACTTTTTTATAAGAGGACTTTTAATCGGAAATTGCTGCGTTTGTAGTTGCAAGACAAACCAACCAAGAAAGGCAACTAAATAACTCAATCGACAGCGACTGCACCAACTAGACAGAGAACATAACATCAAGTTTCGAACCAAGAAGTCAAACTCACGCCCGTCATTTCGTTGATCCACTTGAAGAACAGAAGAGTAAGAGACAGCACTTGCCATATCGATCCATGCTTATGTTAACAAGGTTCCATTACCGTCCCTCGTCAACGCTTCATCTCTTTATGAGGTCAATGTACAAAACTTAATTCTTGTGATAATACTACTATCCTTAGCACTAGTAGTTTGCTTATTTTTGGACAAAACGCCGAAAACTGACAATGACAGACGGAGTCTACTGCATAAATTTGATGTAAAAAAGTCAAGCCCTGAATTCTGTCTATTTACTTGGCTGTTGAATAGCTGTGTTCCTATAAAGCTTGATTAACCATGGAGGTTATTCATTCAGTAGAATTTCCCAGAATAACTTCACTTTTTTCAAGGTCATCGATTGGTATAAAGTGTCCAGTTACAGACGGTTCTATCCGCTAGAGGTCCCAAGGTTTCCACATTTGAGGCCTCTTTTGATCCATAGGTAAATTTGGGAAACTTCACAGCCTCAAGCATTACAGTAGAATATTAATTTCCAGAAATGACGCACCTCCAGAATCACTACAGCATTCTCAATCGACAATTGATCGGATGGCAGTCCCTGATTTCGCCAGACCAGCTGTTCTCTCTCGGTTGTGAGAAAGCGCAACACGTCGAACCCTTTAGCTTCCCCGAAATGGTTGGGATCAGATGAAGCTTGCAGGTACAACGATTCGTTCGGAATCGTCATGCCAAGAGCGGTAAGCTGTCGAACCCATTCACACATTTGACTTTTCCGCACATGTTCGGGGCTCGCGGAGAGGTAGGTGATGAATGCAGCCGATAAAAGTGCAAGAGGTGGCAGGGCAGTGAGTTTCACGGTCAGTTCATTGACCTAGGAAACAGAAAGTTCAAAACGATTTACGGTATAAGACAGTAAACGGAATCTATCTTTGGTATACTACCTCGGAATTCAGTTTGGCGATATCTCGTACCGTCAACTTTAGTCCGGTGTAACAAAAACCCATAAATTTTCCAGACTCAAGGCTTTTGAGGGCAACCAAAGCTCACTAAAATTCAGAAACATCTTGCTCAAATACACATTGGAAAAGATATTACTGAGAAAAGGAAGCCAATAGCAGACTACTTAGTGCTCTTGATGATCCAGAGGATATGATCATGACTTAGAAGTTCGATGACTCGGTTTCGACGACTGTACAGGCACCTTCAAACTGGTCACCCTTCGATTCGGTGTACACAACTTGCTGCACAAATTTACTTGAAAGTATACTTTTTTGGAGGTTTCTACCAAGGCCCTATCACGCGTGCATCGTCCGAAACGCTATTCTGCACAGTCAGATGCGTTTTCATCAATATAAAAAGACGGAAAACGCACTTCTGGATGCAATTCATTCGGTAAAATGACTAATCGCATGATATTTCTGTGGTATCAGAGTGAGGCGCATTCGCCCAAACCACCCACCCTTCCCCCCGGCCCGACACATGATGCAGCACCATGACAGCTCTCCTAAATTTTCTGTTATCTCCCCCACCTATTCTGGTTTGGGATTCGTCTTGAAGTTACCAAATATGGCCCTTCTGTGCTGGAAGAACATTAAATAGAACCAGGAGGCCAAAATGATTCGCCTGGCCCATATATTTCACTATTCGCAAGCCAATCTCACAACGCATGTTAGAGCGTTAACAGATAGGGCCCCTATATTTTTTTCTGAATAATGCTGTGTAGATGCTCGTGTAGATGGACGTGTCGATCACATCAAGTTGCTGTCTTTTATCAACCGCAAATTTATATTGGTATGTGATTTAATGTCACGTTTGACTGAAAGGGGGACCTAATCTGATTTAGTCTACCAAAACGTTCTCCAAATGGAAAGTTACACTCACCTGCTTTTTCCACCGCGCATGTTCACCTTCCAGTTCTCCGACCAGCGCCTCAGCAGAAGCCAAGGTCTCTTTGGCTCGGTCAAGTTCAACTTTTAGTCGGGTTGCCTCAGCAGTGTGTTGTTCAAATACAGCCCGCAATTGTCCCACTCTGGCATCTACTCCTGCTAGCTCTTCAGCAAGCGCTTTCAACGATGATTCTGCTTGTGAGAGTGACCCTTGAAGTTGTGCTTGCTCGGCTTCCAATGGAGCTATTCGTTCAAGAACAGTGGCGTACTTGACATTTGCGCGAACCCAGGTTGCTAATGGTGCAGCGGCTACTGAGGCTCTCTTTGCAATCTGGTACCATAGAGAAAGTTTGGTGACTGATGAATGACTGGAAACAAAATCTTGTAGCTTTACCCCTAAAACAGCTGCGTTTCGACACGTTTTGTCAAACTGGTGATTAAAAGCCTTCATGCATTACTGCCACAAAAAACGACGATGTTGATAACGACGATAATGATAATGATACCAATAGTGGTCACGATGATGGCTGGGGTGATTACGATGATGAGGATGGTGATGATGATGAGACAAATATAGTCAGTATCACAATGTCTCACTCATAGGGTTGCTGAAAACTCTTCGACAGTCCATCTTATGAGTAGTACTTTACGTCGTGCTATCTTGAATATCAGCTAAACCGTAAGGCAGCTTGGTGCAGCAGATTCAGTTGCTTAAGAATATCACAAACGACAGGTTCAGCTGGGTACCAATTGAGTCTCCTGCCAAACACAAATCGGCTTGCAAGTGAGTGCATTCCTTTGACAGTCACTAACCTCTAAGGGGTGATATTCTGGCCGAAACTAACTCTACAAGTCATTAGAGATAGGCCATTAGTTATCGCACACACTCACAGAACTTCCCTTCGTTCACCTAATAAAAATGGTGCCGGAATAAGGAGTACGTATCAGGCGAAATATAAAGGGACCTTCCTGCTGCACATTCACGTGCAGATCAGCATAAACGAGCGATTGATATGACGTTTCGTTCAGTCTACAGCTAATTTGTAATTGCCAAAGTAAAACTGAATGTCTCAGAAGGAAGGAAGTTTGACGAACCCCAGGAAGGACGAAATCGGCTGTAGAATTTCGAAGATTTCAGAAAATGAACCGTGTGGATGTTGTTGGATCGAGAGCAATGAAGGTTCATTTCGGTGGCACTTGCAGTGAAAAGAAGAGTAAAACTGAAGATTCGGTATCCGTCACCCATTCGTTTGTGGAACCCTAAGAAAGTAACTTATGAGATAAGTATAGTAGTAGTGTATAACACGAACTACGTTTTGATGTTTTCAAGGGTTCAGACTCATGAATAGAAAAGGAAAACCCGTATGCTTAAGATGCACCAGTTTTGGCTTTAGCGCGAGACTTGACCGAATCGCTCGTTTATGAAATTCTTCAAGGGAATATGCTGCACAAAGCCAGTTTCCTATTTCAGTTGGCACGATACTCGAGATGTAGTTTCTTGATGAGTCCCAAGAGGGGCAAAACCAAAAGTGGGCTGTCGAATAGCTTTCAGTAACGTTAGGAGTATTCTCCTGCATTACTACCACAGTAAGTGTTATACATGCAGCAAAATGCACCAAGTCACAAATGCCTCATCCAAAATGTCATTCCTCACGGGAAAAAAGGTGAAGTAACTGATTACCTTCGGATCAAAAGAATCCTGATTTTTAGCAAGTAACTTCTCCACACTTGTACGTAGTTCCGCGCTTATTTTCCGTGCGTCAAATGTTAGAATTTCCTCCTGGACACCACGTTTTGCGAGAAAGCCTCGCATGCTCACCCAAGAGGTATCACGTATTCCCATCAGGAGCAGTACACCTTCAAGTATATCACGAATCACATCCGGTGGTGCTCGCAATGCACGAATTTCCGACAAGGCCTCAGGCCGGATGCTACCCACGGCAGCGCGAGCTTGTTGGACTAAAGGTTCAATCTCCGAAAGCTCTGTGTCTATCGCGGCTTTCCGGCGTTCCAAATCTCTTGACTCTTCGGCGACACGGCTCCGTAGATTCTCCATCTCAGTCCTTTGCTCAGCAGCTCCCTACAAAGTAGGTAAATTTGCGTGAAGCGGCTTCAAAAGAGCTATCTGAAAGTTAACATCGAGTCATCCAGATGTGTAATTTCGAACAAGGGTAAGTCTTTGGACGTGACCGGGGAAAGGTCTCCTCTGAACACGAGCCTGAACGATCGTCCTTGTCCAACATAGCTGCATCACAATTTAATGGTCATTTACTAATGTACGCCGATATTGTTCCATGTGTCATGCATGTACACACAGCTGAACTAATATGCTACTTCATACTTCATGCATTCAGTTTAGCTGACAAGTTATAGCAGAGGGAACTAAAGCAACATTTCAGCGGCTTATGTGTATTCATTCACACGTGTTGACACACATGTAACCGAGTGATGTGGACCCCATGATCGGAGAAGGAGCGGAGATATATCCTGCCTGAGTGCGAACACACTGCCGAACGGTTAAGTGTTCAAACTACTATCCAGAAGGTCGCGGGTTCGAGACTGTCTGAAGTTTCGCGAGATGCGCACTTTTGCACTTACAAGACGAAAGTCCATCTAGGTCTTCCATAACCAAATTCTCTTTGGTCTCCTGATCGGGATGCTAATCTCGAGCAATAGGTGGAGAGACTGTTTCGAATATGCACCTATTGTGGTAAGCTACTCGTAGCGATATAAAAGCGGTTTGGGAGCGTAGCACCAGAAAAATTCGTTTAGTATTACGAGCCGCACCTTTACAGCACTGGATACAAGTAAACGACTAACCATAAACTTACTTGCATGGCTGCACTTATTTGTTCGAGAGCTTTATCCGCTGCCGTTTGTTTTTCTGCCAGTTGTTCGCCCTGTTCTGCGGCACTCTTCTTCAGCTGACAGACTCGTCGTCGAGCTTCTTTCAGTTTCGCCAAACCAGCTTGCAATCTGGATGCCCGAGCTTCAAGTTTTGATCGATGCGTTTGTTCAATTCCGGCATAGGCGGCGCATAATGCCAGATAGCGGCGAGGTGTAGCCATGTATAGATGGGGCGCTGTGTTATGCAGGCTAGTAAATGCTTGGCAAAGTTCCTCTACATTCGGAAGGACACGAACAGCAGAAATGAGTAGTTTAGGGAGGTTAAGTAAACTGTTTCTGGTCCAGTTATCCACCCACTGAACTTCACAGTGTTTGTATGCAGAAGGATTCGCACGCAGCCTAGCTGTAAGTTGGTCGGAATCATCCACATCCAAAACGATGACAAAGTGCAAGTTTGCACGAACGCGCTGAGCGAAGAATGAGGAAATCGGTCCTCTATGACTAGCTTCTGCAGCTGCCTCACGCAAGCTCACCCCACCGGTGGGAGGCGTGTTTGTTGCTAGTGCCTCAAGTTCGTCTGCAGTGAACAAACCAGACGCCTCCCCACAGGCCAGTAAACTATTGATTATTTCGAGCATTGCATCGTGAGTTAGTTGATGGTCTTCAATCAATAGCACCGTAGGCTGGGAGTCTATCCCGGCAGCTTGACATGCCACCTTCACGTCGCCTACAAAGTGCCGAACTGTATAGTCACGACCAACGCGCAGTCGATGAACTTCGAATTGGTGTAGGTGTGTCACGAGGTTCAAAGCAGATCGCCTTCCAATACCTGAACGACCAGCTAACAGTAGGGATCCAGCCGGGCGGGTCAAGACCCTTTCTATGCGACAAATAAGATCTATAAACTCAGGGAATAGGGCCAGCTCAGCTGCTTTTGGACACTGTTCTCTAGCAATTTGGGTCAAACCGCGTTCACAAACTTCCCTTATGTGACTCATTACCATAAATCCAAGTGGTCTGCCATGAAGGGGTATTGGACTGCCTGGTGGAGCTGCTTCTTTGGCACCCCAAGTGACAAACCACCCTGCTTCTTCGGAAGACTTGCCACGAGGACTTTCACTTTCCCCGCAAAAATCATACAATTCATCAACCTCTCCTGTGGCAAATTTCAAAATTGTCTGGATTTCGTCCCCGCCACTGAATTCCCCATGGGTAGTAGTACTGCTAAGGTTGCTGTACACTAGACCACTGAAAAGCGTATCAAACTGACTTCGAGCACGTTCACCCGGAAGTCTATTGCGTAGCACGCATCGCGCCTCTTGACCAAAAGCGGCCCACAAATTATTGACTGATCCATTTAACTCGTAGCGCAATAGTCCGGCTGTCCATCGGGTTAACAAGTGTGGGGTGAAGACGCAGTGTGCATGTTCATCGGCTCTGAACTGCTGTTGTACGCTGTCAAGAAGCTGTACCATTATTGAGGACATCATATGCAATCGCACCGGATTTAACAATGGAGGAGTCTTTGTTGAATGTGCCTGAACAGTATATTTGGACGCTCGGCTATCGCACACGGAGGTACAGTTTGCCGCCAAATGGGAATGTACAACCGCCTGAAGTAGACACGTGTAGATGGAAATTAGTTGGTCTCGCTCCGGGTAGGTTATAACAGTCAGCCGGAGAGCTGAAGTGAACCGGGGTGACAGTAGATGTCGTCCTAAACCTGCAGAAGTGGTAGCCGGCGTAATGCTTCCAACAAACTGTATGCCTTCAACACCCACAAATTCCAGGTTGACTGGATCGTAGTAGCCATGATAGGTCAGCAGCTGTTTTGGAAAAGAAAATTGTGCGGATGCACTTAGTTCAGGTAGAAATAAAAAAAACAGAGGCGATCAAAAAGCAAAAAAGTTGTTTGGAGGTCTAACACGTAGTATAAACAATAGTAGGAAAACAACGGACGCCATCAATGATGGATTTGGAAAGCATTAGTCCGACCTGTGAGCCGTAGTTCCTTGCAGTCAAAAACACCGATTGATGATGAGTCAGTCGTTTCCTGGTGACTGACAAGCCGATCACATCCGGTTTCAAATCATAAGACCAAACACTCTTGAGCCAAAAACGTCTAGTGCATGCACCGTGCAAACACAAATCTAAAGAACTTATCTCCATTCTACGGTGGTCAGTGAATGAGTCCTGGATGGGAAAGTGCACATCTGTGGTAGCAGACGGATATCCAAGCTATCTTCTTCAAAGTGCAGCTCCCTCCTTTCGACCTTCCTAAAGAAATGCCCACTTTTACTACTGAATTCAGTATCAATCATGCCAGCTACTGCCTTTCGCGCCCATCTATCCACTTATGTTTCCCCGCAGAATTGGTGAAGGGAACAACAACCTCTGTACAACATATGCGCCATTCATAGTGGAAGACGATGGAATGAAACCAATCTGATATACCGCTCACTGCATCTACTCTTCACACCATTGCACTAGGGGGGATCAGCTGTGGTGCAGAGGAGGGATATTCGAGCCCTTTCAGAAAAGCACAGGCGGTCTAAGCAGGTGTAGTCATACTTTAGTTTGGATACAGAGGACCTTAAAACAGAATACGAGTGAGTTATATTCACCATTTTTCTGATTTTCTATTCCATCAGCCAACAGACAAAACTGTCATAAAAATAATAATAAAGTGAGTTATACCTGCTGGAGGAACGCCGTCAACTGGCACGAACCCCATTTGTCCGGTTTTGCGAGGTTCAAATCCCGCAAATACAGAATCAACCGTTCTCCTTCGCGCGGACGAAGAACACGACCGGCAATCGTCCCGGCTGTACTGCTGGTCACCGTCATGCAACACTGGGATAGTTTTTCCAGCAAATGGATGGGTGTGGTCTGCGCGGAGCACTGAATAGTGGCCACTTGAGCTGACCGGTTGAACATAGCGAAGCAGTAGTCCAACAGACGACTTTGAGAAGGAAAAATGGGCAATGAAGTGAATTCGGGGAGGGAGAACCGGTGATCTGCTAAACTATCTGTTCAGATGTTCTACAAAGTGAACAGATTCGAATGACGATTAAATATGAAAAAGGTACGCAGTAATTCTCGGATTTTCGACATTGACTTAGTTATTTCTACAGGACTAACTCCAAAATTGGGACTTGGGAACGGAAACAGCACCACAGGCGGTTGTTAATTCCATAGCTTCCTGTGACGCCAAAACCACCTAAATTTATCGGTGTAAATTAGTTCAGGAGTAATTCGCAAACCAGGCGGATTCTGTTGATCGACTTTCAATACATGTTAGAGCAATTCATCCATTCACAAAGACTCGGTGTGATGACAAAAATTGCCGTCATGCATGATGTTAATTCTACCCAGAATGACGCTAATTCTCAGGAGACTTCTTTTTGTCCCGTTTATTAAGTCAATAACAACTGTACCTTCATCGATATCAGAGTCGAAAGCGATTGAAAACTGATAATGACCGGTGACCAACAGTGCAGTTTCTATCATCAGACGAAAATATGTGAATTTGTGGTCTGGTGGTAACTGAAGCTGTTGAGTTTTCTTACGATCAAAACCATAAACGGATATCGCAGGGCACAGATCATCTAAAAAGATCGATGAAAAGTCGTTTCTTCTGGAGGAAAATCTCTTTTAGAATGAACCCTGATATTAAAACGTGCTTCAACAGACCAATGAAAACTGGTATGCTTATTACCAATTCCAACCAAAGGGGGGTGCATAAGAGCCCTTACCTCTTCCCACAACCCTCCGGACCCACAAGTAGAAAAGACTGGCGTGCTTTTGGATCGTCCAACCAACAGCGAAAAGCGTCAATTGATCTCCGAACAGTTGGCGTAAGTACTAGTGGGGGGTATCCAGATGCCAGTCCATCGGCCGCTGCGTGAGCAAGGGCACTGTCAGTTGAGATGCTCGTTGAGGAAAATTCTGTGCACCCACCAGCTGTATTACTTAGCGAACCTGGGCCAAGAAGTACTATGCTCGTTCCAGGTGGGTATGATATCAGACGAGTAGGGCAATTCTTGTCCACCTTGTGGTCATTTGTGAATTTAAAGAGGAAGACATGAAATCCGTAGATTGGTGATCGCATTTGGAGCATGTTCCAAACACATTACAACATTACACAACGAGGACGTCGTAAAAATAAACAGAAAACGGCATTCCGTTCTTTTGGCTGATATTTTCTTTTATATTGTGAAAACGCATGCAGCTGGAGCTCCCCGAAAACGACTGATTGATAGGCTCACATAGAAAACCAAACTGCCTCACTGACAGTGGCTTAGTCTATCTTCACTCAAACATCGTTCATATTCGCACGTGGATACTTAATACATATACAACAGTGTATGAAGCTATATGAAGGTACTAATAACAAAATGGAACATAACAACACTGAATTGAGCTCGATAGGCTAGGAGAAAATGGAAATTGAGTCCACTGAACCGAATGATTTTCTACAGGAAGGACAACCGAATGCTTCCAGTGGTTTCAAGATTCATGCCCGAAATCTCATCACATAAACGGTGTGGTTACTAATTGTGGTTCTATTGGCTTCAACCAGAAGAGACTGATGATACGCTTCTCATGTAGCCGATGAAAAAAGTGTAGCGCTACCGAACGAATGTGTGTTAATGTATCTCCAGTGGGGGGAGCGATGAGCATTAGAACTACCAAAATCAAGTGGAACACACGCCGACTGTGACAGCACAGTAACTACTGCGTTATCAGCGTGTAAAATCAACTTTCCAGCGGACTGATCACTGATATTTGTAAAATGTGCATTTTTAGGGGTGAATTTTTGGTGGCACCGTTCGTGAAGAGAATCCGTTCAGTTTGATTTCCTCCTAGATCAAGGCACGACCAAGAGTACAACATTCTGAACTGTATAGCGAAGTTTCAAAGGCTTCCAGGTCAGTGGAAAAATGGTTAACGAACCTGATAGTCCGTGCGTTAACGCATAAGCCACGTTATTATGCACCCAATTTACACATCGATTTATCTGACTGGCTCTCAGAAAGAATACTGGTCAAACATAATGCACTGAGGGAGAGACAGTCGAGAACAAAAACACAGATTTCGCCTTCAATTTTGAAGGTGTGCTGCTGCAAACAACATGTAAAATGACAAAGTGACTTCGGCGTCCATTTGAAAGGATGATGAAATAATCGGCTGCGTTCCTCATAAACTTCATGTCCTTTTGAAACCTATCCTTCGTAGGTACCATTTTTTTCTAATTATCAAAGTTATCCCAATGAATCCACCGGGGAGAGAGAAAAGTTTGGCTTACGTGCACACACCAACCATGCACTTCGGTTGGACAGCAGCCATTGATCTACCCATTTAGCCATTTCGGTTAGGACGCCACCGCAGGTGACAGAATGATCGCAGGATTAGAGTGCAGCACATCATGTGTCAAGAGTAGACGGAAGTAGGCTGATGAATATGAACTTGGAAAGATGGAAGTAATAGGTATGTGAGCTGAGTGAGTGGGGTGAGTTAAGTAAATGCCGCATGATTTGAGGTGAGTGCAAACAAACGTCTGAATTCCACAAATTGATAAGTTCGTGACAATCACGATGCGCATCTCCACAAAACCTGAATAGATCGTTCGGTTTCGGAACATCCAATCGGTGCGTTCTTTGGAAAATAATTTATTAAATCTCTCCCATCCTTGTGGCTGTTGTCACGTTATCGGACGGCTGCTCCTACTGACCGCTGATGTGGATCCATCGCCGAGACCAACACCACTCAGGAGAGTTCGACTCGGGTAAGACTTTTGGTCATCCTCAAGCCGACCGAGCATCCGGATAAGCATGCCGATAGGTGGAGAAGCGCATCGTGAGGCTCAGTAATTGCCGCGCAATGTCCGTTCCCCCAGCAATGGAAAAGGAGAAGGCATGTCTAGTGGCTAAAATCAGACCAGTAAGCTGGTCGTAGAACAATGCTTGAGCTGTCTTCCGCTTCACCGTTTAGAGAGGCTAACGCGCAGCCATTCGGCTAAGTTAACACTGATATTCTGTTGGCATCAGGCCGGTACTTTCTGAGACTGTTATATAAATTCCAAAGGGATCGAAGTGTGTGCGATGTGAAGAAGGCTGGTTAATCTTCCACAATGACGCATGAATTCTCGGCTTACTGGGTTATCCGATAAGTCGAAGAGAGTTCAAAGGACAACAGTACCACGCCACACCGTATAGTGTTTATAAGTTTTAAAACAAAGTGGGCGCCATCGCTTCGCTGAATTCAGGTTGCCGTGTCTGTAAGCTGGTGACTAGGAAAGTGATCCCCATTTTCTGCGTGACTTATTAGTCACGTGGCCACAGATATGGATGGAGTAGCGTTTCACTTACACGCCAATTCATCAAAGTTCCAGTTAGGCGGGCATAGTTTTCTCGTGTTCAACGCAGTACAAAACACACGGTGTAAGAAAGATTTATCGAAAAAATCTCTGAGCCCTTCTTGTCCCCAAATAGCGCTACTGCTAGGTGATGCAGCTGCATTCATACCCGTTTTTCTCAGCTTCGTCCCACAAACAGCTGGTTCTGGACTACGAAATCCGTTGGTTGGATGCAGTTGGCGGTTAGGCGTGGTAGCCACAAGACGACAACGCCACTTCACTATGCACAAGTTGTTTGTGACTATTTGGGGGAACAGTTCGGGAATACGTGGATTAGTCGAAGTGAGCCGTTTGAGTAGCTAGCCGATTGAATTTTTTTAAACTGTGGAACTACATGGAAAGCAGGACCTGAAAGAATGGTTCCCCCACAACGCTTGACCAGCTGAGGAACAGCATATCGTTTACCTTTGGTGGTACTACTCAAAGGACTTTATTCTAGATTTCGCCTAATTGCGTGAAGTCAGTAAAGTTGTGCAGACAAAACGCTAGTACAGTTTCTTCATTAGTGCATTTTTTCTCCTACTGGTCGATATAAACACGTTATTTCACCTATACACGAATTTCTGTGAGCCAGAAATCTTGTGATGGCACCGAACTATATATATATATATAT